CGAAAGCGAATTTACTGATGATGAAATTACAGAATGTCCTAGGACTTTTTTCCCAGCCAAGAATTTAGAGCAAGCTCAGATTCAGATGATTCTGATTCTGAAGAAGAATGGTCATCAATACACAATCCACCAATCTTACCAACTGGCGTCTACAAGACAATCACAGAATGAAGCTACTCTCATCTGAGAATAATACACAAGCCCAGTCTTGTTCAGTCTAACTATGAAGTTCACAGCCCCACTGTGAATGGCCAATACAGTGCTATCTGAACAATGGGATCTACAGGTATGTAGTCCTCTTTCTTCAAAATGGCTGGTTACAGTTTTCTGGGAGATCTGCTGTTCTGTAGCAAGAAACTCGGGTAGAGTAGACTTTAAGGTACCCCTTGTATCATGGCGAAGTTGTTGTTTGATTTATCGCCAAGTTGTTATTTCATTTATGGTAGCCTGAATAGTTAAATGTTATGGAAACCCTATTGTGATGTAATCGGGTGCATGATTCTGGGAAATTTTGAATCATGGGACGTTTTGTAAGCATTTTTGTGGTGTGTGTTAAAAACCATTTAGATGCATTTTAATGGGCTTGTAGGAAGAAAGGTTCAGATGGTCACTGCATGAAGTGTTCGATGAGAAAGAGTACCTCGTTTGAAAAAAGTCATTTGAGTATGATTGATATTTTGATTTTTACGTGGCTCTGGGTGTACGAAGCAAACTCGAAAATCATGGCAAGTGAATATTTGCTTTTGGTAGTGCTTAAATGTATAACATGTTTTTCCAGCTGATCTTTGAAATATGGTAACTGGTAGTTTGGCGTCATTTTGGAGGTGATAAAGGTTACTACCTAGGACTTTGGTAATAATGTGAGAAGTACTCAGAACCGATTATGCGTTATTTTGTGTGAGGGAAATGATAGATCATGAGATATGTCATGTGACATTAATGGACGAATTACAGTTCTTTAATCGGAAGAGGGGGGAATTTGGAAATCTGTAGTACTATATTATTTTGTATTAAGCTTCAAAAAATTCAAAAAGCAAAAGCAAATATTCACTTGCCATGATTTTCGAGTTCGCTTCGTACACCCAGAGCTACATAAAAATCAAAATATCAATCATATTCAGATGTCTTTTTTCAAACCAGGTACTCTTTCTGATCGAACGCTTCACATAGTGACCATCTGAACCTTTCTTCCTACAAGCCCATTCAAATCCATCTAAACGGTTTTTACGTTCGACTAGACGCATATCCTTCCTACATACAGGACACTTATAATGGCTACTAAGTAAACTTTTATTTACACACCAGTACATTAAAGCTCTTTTCCTTTTTCACTCCAAATTGTACAGAAACTTCAAATTAATCTTACTACATTCGGTCATTCTACCGTCTAAAGAATCAAACCAACGCACACCACAAAAATGCTTACAAAACATCCCACAATTCCATGCACCCGATTACGTCACAATAGGGTTTCCATAACATTCAACTGCTCAGGCTACCATAAATGAAACAACAACTTGGCGATAAATCAAACAACAACTTCGCCATAATACAAGGGGTACCTTAAAGTCTACTCTACCTGAATAAAGATTTTCGCTCTTGTTGATGCAAGAACTTTCTTTACATGTAATTTAGAAGTTTATGCAGGTACTCAGCCCCAAGGGCCGTATCATGTAAATAATTCATCAGTTGAAGTCGTCAAAAGGTTAACAGAAAAGTTAAATTCTGGGATAAGTGTAACAGTCAACAACTGGTATACTAGTTATGAACTTGCAAAATATCTCCTTCAGAAAAACATTACTCTAGTGGGCACCATAAGAAAGAACAAGAGGGAAATACCGAAAGAGTTTGTGAACAGTAAAAATCGTAAGAAGTATTCATTCTTGTTTGCATTCCAGAAAGACATGACTTTAGTGTCGTATGTTCTTAAAAAAAAAAAAAAAAAAAAAAAAAAAAAATTGTTAAGCTCTTATCTACAATGCATAACGATGATGCTATTGACCAAACAACAGGTGAGGCAAAAAAACCTGGGCTAATCTTTGGAATATGGTAACAGGTAGTTTGGCGACATTTTGGTAAGGCGATAAAGGTTACTAGCTAGGACTTTAGCAGTGTACATGGATAAAGTCAAGAGTGTGTGCAATGCCATTTTTGTGCAATTCTGGGATTTTTTTTAAGTGAAAATAGGTCGACGTGTACATGGATGATACCGTCTATGTACAATTCTTAAAAACGCGACAAGCAGTGGGCAATTCTGCATTTTGTCCCAATCTCGCACCTAATCTTCGTCATGATTAAGCACTTGTTTGATCTTTACATTATGGTAACTTGGCGTTTTTTTGGCGAAAATTTGGCGACCAACTCTCCTACAGCAACCCTCTATTTTTTTCCGCCATCATTTTGTCTTCACGAAGTAAAGACATGTTTCTTTTCTTTTTATCTACTGAACACTTCTTCCAACAATCTACTAGCCGAATTACACTTATGCTAGAAATTTTATCTAACAAAACTGTTTAATCATGACAAATATTCACTGCAAAATTGGGAAAAAGTGCACAATACCATACTCCTTACGCGTTTTTCAAAATAACACATACACATAAACCATGTACACGCCGACTTATTTTTACTTAAAAAAACATCCCAGAATTGCACAAAAATGGCATTGCGCACACTCTTCACTATATCCATGTACACTGCTTTTTTCTCATAAATTAGAAAAATTTCACGAAAATACATGACAATTTTCTCAATCTTTAAACCCGGTAAAAAGAACATATATGAAATTACCTGATCGCGAAAAAGTATTTACCCTTTCCAAATATCAACAATAAAATTAAATAAAATATCCAAAAACTTTTACCTCTAAATCATCTATTATACATTATACACGTCACCAACGAATTCATACCACAACCATTACAAATACTTAGTGTCAGATATTTAAATTATTTCCATGCACGTTTACTTCAACTAAAACGTATACCAAATTCCTACAAACATAAAATTCACAAAATAACTATCATTTAATTCAAATATAATTAAATTCAAAAACACTACTTAAAATATAAATGAGCACATACATTAAATTAATACATACATAAATACCCATTTCGAATTCACTTTAGTTACGGCCATGGGATCCAAAAATTCACGAACACTGTTTCACACAACACAGAATAAAGCCAAATACAAAATTTCCAGTTTTTTCCCGATTTCCCCCCTTTTCCGATTAAAGAACCGTAATTCGTCCATTAATATCACATGACATATCCCATGATCTCTCATTTCCCTCACACAAAATAATGCGTAATCGGAACTGAGTACTGCTCACATTATTACCAAAGTCCCAGGTAGTAACCTTTATCGCCTCCAAAATGTCGCCAAACTACCAGTTATAAAAAAAAAAATGCCTTTACTTTGTAAAAACAAAATGGCGTCCAAACAAAAACTAGCAGGTTGCTTTAGCAGGGTTGGTAGCCAAATTTTTCGCCAATTTACCATAATCCAAAAATTATCCAAAACCTGAAATAACATCATTTTATAATTTGACGAAAGGAGCTGTTGATGTGGTGGACCAAACGTCAGCAGCGTATTCAACTGCAAGAATCAGCAAAAGATGGCCGATGGTTCTTTTTTTTACACTGCTAAATACTGCTGCAATCAATGCTCGCGTATTACTCCAATGCTCAAAACAATGCTCCATCCTTAACGCACAGGAAGTGGAGACAGTTTTTGAGAGATCTTGTAACAGATTTGCTGAAAGATTACACAGCGGAGAGGTGCACTGTACCATGCCTCTCTCGACATTAGCAAGAAACACTATCTTCCAAGAACAAAGAACCTACTGCTAAAAACCAGAAAGTAATTGAGAGAAAAAGGTGCTATATTTGCCCAAGTTCCAAAGACTGAAAATCTAAGATAAGTTGTACAAAATGTGAAAGAAATGTCTGTTTTAACATGTACAAATTGCACATAAAACTTGGTTTTTTTTAAAAAATTCTATACATACATTGAATAAAATTAGATCTCTAAATATTGCCTTAAATTATGTTGTTAGTAAATGCTTAATGGGGCGTTTAATGACCTGCATAAAATATAAATCCATAAACGGGATTCGCAGGGCCGGTACGAGCACTTGCGTACGTACGATTAGCGTGAGTAACGCCGGGTTAAAAATATAAATACATCTCTTCAAATTACTGTTTACTTAAGGTTCATAATTCCCCTGTATTTATGATTAGAAACTCAGACAGTATAATGGTTAGTGACGTTGACAGTCAAGTTTGGGCACAAATTTGAACCCCTGAGAAGGCATGGATATTTATAAACATATAGTGTCTGTGCAGCAAGGGGCACTCTAAATACATAACCAGCTGAGAGACCTCTTGATCCGCTGGTAAAAGGTGAAGATAGGTGAGAGACCCTCAGATTGCTCCCTGGGTGTTTCTCTCAAAATTGGGGTGGAACTGCATTGTTAGTGCAGCAGTACTATATCTGTGTGACCAATGGTGGAACTTCGGGTGTACCACCCACTTCTAGCTGTACCAATACCTGTATCTACAATTATATTTTCGCATCCATTTATTAAAGTAAATATTAGTGCAAAGCATATTTTCTTAAAGACTTAAAAATAACCGATACCAATTAAATAAATGCTCATACAAATATTACACTAAATTTTAAAGATATAACCAAAATTTTTAGGCAATAAATTAGAGATTAGTGGTTTCAATATTCAGATGTCACAAACAAATCTCCGATCACAAAAAAATATCTGTATTTGAGAAAAAAAAATTTTATTAATATAAGAAAGTAAGGGTCAACTATATTTGCATTGCAACCAAAAAAAAAAAAAAAAAAAATACTACACTGGAAAGAAAGCAATATAAGTGTACGCACTTTAAACTATTATTCAACACGAAAAAAACTCGATTCTCCAAAAAAAAAAAAAATATATATATATAGATCTATATATGGGCTTTGCTGCGATTACTCACTTAACGCCAAACGTAGAATAAATCCAAAGGATCATTCAATAGTAGAATATAAACAAAATTTTCACCTGTGACAACATACAACGAAGATGTTGCCAAATCCTTAAACTCAATTTTACTAAAAGCATGATGGTGTGAATCTGGCAGATATCTGAGTCTCGTGATGGCAGAAGTGTACAATGCAAGTGTTGCGATTTATTATTTATAGACATATAAGACTTAAAAAATAAATTAATTTTTGTTACCATATCGATTTACTGATTTTACAGTTTCCTTACCATACATGTTTTTCATATCCTTTCTTAATGTTCTTTGTCGAAGTGTTATTGCAGAGAGCTTCGCTCTGGAATAGGAGAACAGATGCGACATAAAAATCCTCTCTTAGAACGCTAACGGTCTTTACCATAAAAAAGATGAATTATCCAACCTCATTATTGAAATTGAACCTGACGTAATACTCATACAAGAGACTCACCTTAAACCAGCAGTCAAAGTACTTTAATCATAATTCCTACCTTACGGATCGTGAGACAAGAAGAGGCGGTAGCAACATCACATTTGTTAAAAGGAGCATAAAACACGCTCAAATTCCTAATCCAGCACCACTTTCGAAAGTAACACAATAGAAATTGTAATAGAACATAAAAAATTCAAAATTTCGAATATATACATCCCACCAAATAATAATCCCAGGGCACAAGAATTGACTCACCTCCTTAATTCTAATAATTCAACGCCAAACACCTCTGCTGGAACCGAGGACCTGCTAACAAAAAAGGAAATGACATATTTAAACTCATTCAATCAAATAATTATAGCATTCATGTTCCAGACGAGCCCACCCATTACGGGTACAATAGCGCCACCACAATTGACTTCTTCATCTCAAATAACATTACTAACAGATGCAATATCTCTGTAATTTCAGCCCTGTCTTCCGACCACAACCCCATTGTATTTGAAATCCCCATTAATAAATACCTCCCCTCACTTGACAGAAGTATAGGAGTTACAAATTGGATCAAATACTCTGAAATTCTGAATAACTCCATACAAGGTAACCCATGCATCAACAATACAGAAGATTTAGAACACGAAGTCTCAAAAATTTACCAACAGCATCAATTCTGCTTTAAAGGAAGCCACCAATACTTTTTATGTGAACAAGCCTTTCCTTCCCCTGCCTGCCGATATAAGAAATAGGATTAAAGAGAAAAACCGGATCCGTAAAAGATGGCAAACCACCAGGGATCCACAACTCAAACACGAACTAAACTCTATGCAAAAAGAAATCAACAGAAGAATCAAGAACTTCAAAAACCAAAAATGGACCAATTTCCTAAATAACCTAGCTATAGAGGACAATTCCCTATTTGACATTTCCCGCAAATTCAAGAAACCTTATAAACCTATTCCACCTATCCATGGACCTAGTGGAACTTCATATACAGAAGAAGATAAAGCTAAATCTTTTGCGGACTATATGGAAGATACATTCACTCTTAATCCCACTCCGTACGACAATAACCATATTGAACGGGTCAACCAGGTGGTCAATAACTTCCTTAATACCCCTGCTCCGTACAACTTCACTTTCCTGACTACCCCAACAATCGTTGCCAACACCATCAGCGCCTTACAAACGAAGAAAGCCCCAGGGCACGATGGCATCTCGACCAAAGCACTGAAGCATCTTCCGATCAACGCTCTTACCTGCCTAACTAAGATAATCAACAACATTATCAAATTCGCTCATTTTCCTAACTCATGGAAGCAAGCTATAATAATTGTTTTTGCTAAACCGCAACAAAATCCAACTCTCCCACAGAACTATCGCCCTATCAGTTTACTTAGCCACCTGTCTAAAGTTACTGAGAAAATCCTACTTTTCCACATCCAAAAAATTCACCCTTCCATGAATTTTCTCCCAGAAGAACAATTCGGTTTTCGTAATCATCATAGCACTTGCCACCAACTTCTTAGAGTTATCAACATTATCACTGAAGGCTACAACTGCAAGCTTCCGACCGGTGCTATATTTCTCGATATCGCGAAAGCTTTTGACAGGGTATGGCATCGAGGCCTTATTTACAAACTAATCACTCTCAATTTTCCAGATCATTTTATTCGCTTAATAGCCTCTTTTCTCAGCAACAGAACATTCAGAATCAAAATCGGTACTGCTTACTCTACCACCAGAGTAATCAATGCTGGTGTCCCACAGGGGTCCTTTTTATATTTTAATCTAACCAAGTATTTTATAACTTTAACGGCGTCATGCTGCGATTCCGTTGTTGTGATGCACGTGTTGTGCTAGCTGAATGCATGGAACTGTTTTTAAATAAAATTTGAATTCTTGAGAATACTCATTAGTTGAGTCTTCTTTGAAAGTATAGAAGTTATTAAGTGGAACAAACTACACAAGAAGTTACATGGTGTCAGGAGGCAAAATGGATTTCAGACCACCTGCTGCGCTGACATTCTCCGTCGGAAACGTTAAAGAAAACTGGAAAAAAATGGAAGCAAGAGCTAGAAAACTCATTTACTTGCAAAAGAAAAAAGATGCCAAGCCAGATAAGACTAAAATTGCAATCCTTTTGAATTTACTCCGGTACTGAAGGACTCGAAATTTATAACACGTTTCGATTTGAGCCACCTGAGAATAAAGAGAAGTACGAAAGAGGTCTTTGAAGTCTTTTGAAGATTATTGTTCACCACGGCAGAATGTCGTATATGAACGTTACAAATTCTTTTCGTGTAGCCAGCAAGAAGGACAAACAATGAATGTTATGTCACTCAGTTAAAGACTTTAGCGTTCAACTTGTGAAGTTTGCTGAAACAAGAAAATGGATTGATTCGCGACCGTATTGTATTAGGCATTCGGGATAGGAGTCTGACCGAACGTTTGCTTCGAGAATCTAACCTAGGGATTAGAAAAAGCTATAGAAATAGTCCGTGCCGCTGAAACAAGCAACAAGCAACTCCGGAACATGAAAGATGATCCAGCGACTGTGAACAGCGTGAAGAAATATAGAAAACAGCAGCATCAATCAAAACAGTCAGTGCCACCGAAATTATCGTCGCAGCAGAAGCAATCAGCACTAGAATATGACTGCAAGAAGTGCGGAAGAAGGCACAAATATCGCGACTGTCCAGCTTCCGGAAAGTCGTGTGCGAAATGCAAAGTAAAGAACCATTTTGCCGCGAGGTATCCCAGGAACATTTATGAAGTTGGAATGCCAAATAATGAACTTAGTATATATAATGAACATAGTGTATTTGTTGACTCTGTAATGATGAATCCACCAGTAAACGGGCATAGTGAATTTAAAATAAGTGCAAAATCAATCAAAGATCTAACAAATTCTATTGATGAAGTAAATAAATAAGGATATTCACAAGGTAAGTGAAACATGGGTGTGAAAAGTAATACAATGTATGTAAATAATAAGTATTTCAAGGTTGATTTTAAGTTAGATACTGGTGCAGAAGTAAATATTTTGCTTTTGTATGTTTTAAATAATGTTAAGCCTAAACTTAATGAAACTGATTTGTTCTTAACTGCATTTGGTAATTTTAAGTTAAAACCAGAAGGTACTCTTATAATTAATTGTTCAACTGAAAGGCTTAAGAATGTACCTTTACAATTTTATGTTCTTGATGTAAGATCTAAGCCTATATTAGGGTTAACAGCTTGTTCTGCATTAAAGCTAATTGAAAGGATTGATTCTTTAAAGTGCAATATCATTTATAAAAATAATTGAATTGCTCAGTATAAAGATGTATTTACAGGCACAGGGCAATTTCCTGACGAACCATATCATATAACCCTTAAAGATGATGCAATACCAGTAATAATACACCCCCCAAGACGTGTTCCTTCAGGCTTTACAGCCTAAATTAAAAGATACTTTAGATAAACTTGAAGAGAAGAAGGGATAGTATCGAAAGTAAATAAACCAACTGATTGGGTTCAAAGTTTGGTTATAGTTGAAAAACCTAATGGGAGTCTGAGATTATGCTTGGATCCTAGAGATCTAAATAAAGTAATTAAAAGGGAACACTATCAAATTCCTTCTCCAGATGATATAATTAGTAGGTTAGAAGGTAAAAAAGTATTTTCAGTTGTAGATTTAAAAGATGGATTTTGGCATGTACCACTAGATGAAGCTAGTTCTGAACTATGTACATTTAATACTCCTTATGGAAGATATAAATTTAATAAAATGCCATTTGGAATATCCTCCGCCCCAGAAATATTTCAGAAAAGAAACCAAAAATTATTTGGTGATATTGAGGGTGTGGAAGTTTATTTTGATGATATCATAATTGCAGGATCTGATGAGGTTACTCATGATATAATTATCTCTAAGGTTCTTGAAAGAGCTAGGTCTCTAAATATAAAATTTAATCCTGATAAATTACAATATAGGGTACCGGAAGTCAAATATGTAGGCCAAATTATTTCTGAGTCAGGTGTAAAAGCTGATCCTAGTCATATTAAAGCAATTATTGATATGCCAACACCAAAATCAAAAAACTGAAGTAAGGAGGTTGTTAGGAATGTTAAATTTTCTGTCAAAATTTATACCTAATGTATCTAAAGTTACTGCTCCTTTAAGAGAAATCATTCAAGAAAAGGTAGAATTTAATTGGGGGAAGAAACTCAGGAAGAGTCATTTAACAACATCAAACAACTGCTAACCAAAGCTCCAATTTTAAAAGTTTTCAGTGGTAATGAAGATATAATTATACAGTGTGATAGTTCGAAGGATGGCCTAGGATCGTGTCTAATTCAAAAGGGTAAGCCTGTATCATTTGTGTCTCGCAGCCTGACTAACAGTGAAAAAAAAAACTATGCACAGATCGAAAAGAGCTATTGGCCATAGTATTTTCTTTTGAAAAGTACCACAATTTTGTTTATGGACGGAAAGTCACAGTGCAAAGTGATCGTAAACTGTTAATGGCAATTGTTAAGAAACCATTGCATAAAATCTCGTCTAGAATGCAAAGGATGATCTTAAAAGTTACTAAAGTATGATTTTGAGATAAATTATGTTCCAGGTAATCAAATGCTTTTTGCTGACACTTTGTCACGTGCATATCCTGTGAAT